GGTTATATATAGCCATGTATACCTCTGCAGGGTTATGTATAGCCATGTATAGCTGTGTAGGTTATGTATAACCATGTATAGCTGTGTAGGGTTATTTATAGCCATGTATAGCTGTGTAGGGTGAAATATAGCCATGTATAGCTGTGTAGGGTCATATATAGTCATGGAAAGCTGTGTAGGGTTATGTATAGCCGTGTATAGCTGTGTAGGGTTATGTATAGCCGTGTATAGCTGTGTAGGGGTATGTATAGCCATGTATATGTAAGTAGAGTTATGAATAGCCATGCATAGCTGTATAGGGTTATGTATAGCCATGTATAGCTGTTTAGGGTTATGTATAGCCGTGTATAGCTCTGTACAGTTATGTATAGCCGTGTATAGCTATGTAGGGTTATGTACAGCCATGTATACCCGTGTAGAGTTATGTATAGCCATGCATAGCTGTGTAGGGTTAGATGATCTGATGACAGAGGGAGGTGAGGACAAAACGTTGCTAGACTTATTCACCACTCTCATCATCAAAATATCACCGTGTTGTACTTGTGCGAAGACATGTTTCCACCAGGGAAATACGCTAAGAGTATTTCCAGAAACGCGCACTACATCGTAGCCTTCAAAAATCCAAGAGATCAGTTAGGGATGAAGAATTTACTGCTTCAAGCTTTTCCCACTTGCTGGCAAGACATGTGACTGAACGACCGTTTGGGTACACGGTCCTGGATTTACATCCCGCCAGTGATGACAGGAAACGCGTATTTAGTTACCTCCTGACGCACGTAGGATACCCGCGCTGGCATCTAAGAAAGAAAGAGAATGTCTGATCCTTGACCAAAATGGTATATTAAATATCAGTTTAATCGACTCGGCTCATTTGAAGTACGCTGTCTTGGGTGAAGGTTGACGAGAATCATGGATCATTGATCATTCAACAGATATTTTTGGCCCCGTAGAAGATAACAATGATGAAAAGGTAGAAGAGGAAGAGGAGGTGGAAGAAGAGGAGCCTGAAGAGGAACAGGAAGCAGAGGAGGATAGTAACAGCTCCGAAGAGGAAGAAGAGGCGGACGACGATGAATCGGATCCGTGGAGTCCGTTACGTCAATATGTCGGGGAAGATATCAAAGAAACCTACCTGAAAGAAGTCCAGCAGTTCCTGGATAAGGGAAGATCCCAAAACTATGCCGAAAATGCTGCTTTCAATGCCCTATTACCTGTAAGTAGAAGAAGGCTACGAAGGACTTACTTAGAGCGTCTAAAATGGACTCACCGTATCAAACACGACGCAATACACCGTAAAGTCATGAAGACTCTTCGACGCTTTATTGAGGAAGACGACATGGATTTTGACGAAGCAGCCGAGTCGGCAGTGGCAAAACGGAAATTCCTGTTAAAGAGATTAATGAAAAAGAAGTTACTCCCCGACGACGATGACGAAGAGGAAGTAGAAGAGGAGGCCTGAATCAGCCATGTGACTCTTATAAGAGTGTGTGGCTCCAGAGTTGTAGTCATTATTTGTAACACGCCACACATGCAAGATGACTTGCTCCAATCAACTGTCAGGGAATGACCAGAAGGTCGTCTGTAAAAAGGCCTACCACAAAAAATATTATTCAAGGAACAGAGAGCGAATCCTGCCCCAACAATAGAGACATCGTGCAGAGAACGTCGGAATTCTCAAAACTCGTCGTAAAAGATTTTATGAAAACAACAAGGAACGACTCGCCAGCAGACAGAGAGCCTATTGTCAACAGAACAAGGGGCACATCAGAAATTACCGAATACAATGCTATAAAAACAACAGGGAACGGATCAACGAATATTGGAGAAGTTATTACGCCAAGAATAAGGAACGGATCAGGCAAAGACTTCATGACCAAAACCAAAGAAAACTAAAGCAGAATATCGTGCGTTTTGGGGCCAGGGACCAAGACTCTGTGAAACTGGAAACGAGTCTAGTTCCCAACACTTTGTGGAATACCGACAGTCAAGACTTGAAATTATAATCAATTCTCCCCTTGGAGTTATTATTATTCAATAAACGTTATAAAGAATCAACAATTTAGCAATTCATTTCCACTTGAAACATTTCAATTGTATTTTATTTTTCTTCTCACCTTTTACCCTATATATTTTCGCCTTCGCTTATTATTCGTTACTCGTCAAGGATTGCATTTACGCTAGATAAAATTATTTCTGTTCCATCTTTTTAATAGTGCTTTCTTATTTGAGACACAATGACCAGCTTTCTGTAATTTTAGCGCTAACAATTTGAACATTAAAGTTCATTTGAAAAATTGCGTGATGACAATAGAAACCGGTGTTTTTACTCGATCAACATGGCAACGACGTCATATCTTTTCATGTTAGCGCAAAAGATTTGATATTAAAGTTCGTGACATTTGACATTGTGTGATGTTTGGTTTAATACTCTCCTTAAGAGAGAGGCAATAGGGAAGCCCAGCTATAAGTACTTTAACTCATTTTGATTGGTTCCCGATGATTTCATCGTCCCGTGATGCTTTGCACCACCCTATAAAGGCTAGACTCGGACCCAAGTCTCTCCGTCTTCATCATGGCCGCTTGCCGGACGGACCTTTGTCGTTTAGGACCACGGGACCCTGTAAGTATCGAGTTTGAAGTTGCATGACAACTTTTGCGTGACCCTGACGTGATTTGTGTCGCCATGGAAATCCGTGAGACCGATCCCAGTCCTCCGTCGAGGCTGGCTGGGCTGTTCTCCAACATGGCCGACTTTCGTGAGCATCGCCATCTTGAATTCTTAATTCGGCTCTTGATTGGCTGAAATTTGTGGCGGCCATCTTGGATTTGGATAACAATAGAATCCATTGTTCTCCAAACAATAGCCTATTGTCTTTTTCGGCTCCTGATTAGTTACGGCTCATATGAGCCACCATTACTACTTATGTAGGGTTTTGTATCCCTCCCTAGAAATATCCCTATTTTGGATTACGGTGAACCACTATATGATAAATACACTACTTACCTACCCAGGCGACGCTCTTGCTCAAAAACTGGAACCAGTATGTTGGTTCCGGTCAATTTCGTCCCCAGAGCCGGGTAGCGCACTGGATAGAGGGTTTGCCTCCCAACAATGTCGCCCGGGTTTCTTAGAATCCCGGACCCTGCGGAATTTTTTGATAGTGGGTTGGGTTTGTAGCTGGTTCTTGTCATTGCTCCGAGGATTCTGTTCTGTTTCCTTCCTTTTAAAACAACAACTATTTCCAAGTTTTGATCTGGAAACAATGGACGCATAGCCACTCCGTGAGGTGCCACTGATAATTCCCATCTATTATTTATTTCTTTTATTGTTAACTTCCCGAACTAAAAGGACACTGACTCAATCAGCCGAAAACTTGTCACAACATGCATGCTTCAAGTAGCA